TGAGCAGTTTGCTGTGTTAATAAATGTCTGGAAGCTAATATCCACCACTTTGAGGACCTCTTGTAATTGTAGTGCCAAAGGTAACTTGTATTAATTTCATGATGTCTCAATGAATTTAGTATTAAAATATTTATACAAGTTTTTCTTTTCCTAATGTATAACATTTTTTGGTGGATTCTGTATTTATATGTATACATAAATGTATATACGCACACATGCACATGCCAGAAATGCTTAATGCCTCTGATTGCAACTAGATATCTGTCTGCTGTTATGTGTAAATCTGGATTATATCAATTTTAAAAATACTATATATTTCAGATATACTGCTTATAAATTCTTGCCTGTCATTACTTCTGATTCTTCTTGCATTTATATCATCAAATTACAATACTTGAATATTTTTTGAAACTTTTGATGGCTTATGGGTTTTTTTTGTTTGTTTGTTTGTTTGTTGGTCCCAGGGCTCAAACTCGGGTCTTTGCGCTTGTGAGGCAGGCGGCAGAACCACTGAGCTAAATCCCTGGCCCTGATGGCTTATGGTGCCACTAAGCTACATCCCTAGCCCTGATTTTTAAAATTTTGAGATGGACTCTCACTAAGTAACTAAATTGTCCAGGCTGGGCTCGAACCTGTAATCCTCCTGCTTCAGCCTTGTAAAGTATTGGAATAATTGGCAGGTGCCACCATGCCCAGCTAGCATTATCCACCTGCGAGCTCTATCAAGTAAAATTTGGCACACAGCATCATGTATGGTCAAGTTTGTTTTTAGCATAACAAGATGGTTCAGTTCTTGTAAAATATTGCATGATGAAGTCCTTCTTATTGAATGACTAACTGGGTAAGGGTACCTTATTTTCCTTTGTCCTTATATATTGTTCACTCACCAATTCTTTTTTTTTTAAGGTAATGAGGTTTTACATTTATTAAAGGTAGGAAAAGAAAAGAAACGTATTCTGCAGATTGAGTTTGTGCCAAGTAAAAGTAGGAAAAGAAGTACACTCTACAGGGTGAGGGCGGACTACTGTGAACGAGAGCACTGTGGCTCACTCACCATTTCTTGAGTTTGAGGAAGTTCATCTAGTTTATTGCCATCTGTTTCCCCTAGTCTGAAGAGGTTTTGTTTTGTTTTGTTTTGTTACTGGGGATTGAACTCAGGACCTTGTGCTTGCGAGGCAGGTGCGGTGCCACTGAGTTACATCCCTGGCCCAAGTGTGAAGTTTTGCTAGCGCAATCAATTTCATCATCATTATTAGAGTTGGTTGTGGTGCCATTTTTCTCTTTGAATTTATCTTCTGATTTGCCTAAGAATTGAAACATCTTCCTCTGTTGAGTTTCTTTTAGTTGCTATTATACATGGAAAATTTAAAAAAGCTTCTGTATTCTGAACTATGTTGAACAAAAGCTAAGAGTTTGCTATAGATACTATATGTAGATATCATTTAATATGATACAGTACTTTGGGGTGTGCAGTAAGAAAACTGAAAGATAATGCAGTAAGGATGTTTGATTTCACTATTACATTATCCTTTTCAGTGATTTCATCATTTTTCTTATTTTCATCTTTTTTTAAAAAGCATAATTGTAAATAATTCAAGATACAGAAAATGTGCTTGCCTAATAGCATGCGAGAGGCCCTAGGTTCAAAGCCTAGGGCCTTGAAAACAACAACAGATCCCAGAAAAAAGTAAGACTACCAAGATCCTATAATGGGGTGTTTTTTTTGTTTTGTTTTGTTTTTTTGGTACTGGGGATTGAACTCGTGTCCTTGCACTTGTGGGGCAGGTGGCGGAACCACTGAGCTAAATCCCTGGCCCTCAAGATCCTATAATGTAGCTTAGATTTATAAAAAAAAGTATATGGACCCATATGATAACTGCTAGAATGGGCCTTATTTATTTTTCAAAATAGTATAATTTTTCTTTTTTCTTTAGAAGAATCTGAAAAGAATAAAATTATAAACCAGAATACTTGCCAAATAGTAAAGAACTGTTCCAAAGAGAAAGTTAAAAAAAAAAAAGTTCGGTTCAGTGGATGCTGATGTTATACCAAGGGCTGAGTTGCCCAGGAATATATAATGACTATATTAATGAAGTTTTTAATAGGAGTGATACTTCCGCTGGTAGGAGTTTGATCCAGGTTACGACCTGTTCCAGCCATCACCTTATCTGTGCACCGTGGCCAAAAAGAATAATTTAACTTCTTGTGTTGTGAGGGAGGCACTTCCTCTACTTGTTTATTCTGTTTGCAAGAGCCCTGCTTTATCTCTGTGTGTTCTCCTGTAAGCCTCTTTTCTGTATCAGAGCCCTTGAGCAGTTAGCTGTTGAAGTGAAGTGCATCTCTGTTGTGCACAGGGCACTGCCAGCGTCCCAGTTGGGAAGGATCTCTAAGCTGTGTGTTTGCCAAGCATGATATCATTGTGTACAGGCATTGCAGAGTTTGCCAAACTCAGATGTAAGCTGCGGTACAAATGCCATGTTGACATGACATTTACAAGTTTAGAATTCCGAGAAGGACTAGCACTAGAACACACCTCAGCTGTCTCATTTAGGGCAGCAATAACTGGGCCAACTTTTGATTTTCAAACTCAAAAATGAGAGTCAGGAAACAATACTTCATGTAGAATTTGAAACTATTACTACAGCTTTTTCTGGAAATGATAAATCCGTTTAGCTTGTTCCTGGAATGCAGAATAAACCATAATGATTAAGCATACCAACTTTAGAATAAAACTTGGATTTGAACAAGACTCTTTTCATTTACTCTGTGGGTCTGAGCAAGTTGCTTAATCTGTTTGACTGATTTTAAGCCCCAGTTTCCCATCTATAAAATGGAAAAGATCATGGGATATAGCTCAGTGGTTCTGGCACCTCCCTTCCAAGAGCAAGGTCCCGAGTTCGATCTCTGGTACAAAAAAAAAAAAGGGAAAAGCCCAGTGTGGTGGTGCACACCTGTAATCCCAGCACTCAGGAGGCTGAGGCAAGAGGATCATTGTGAGTTTGAGGCCAGTCTGGGCTACATAGTGAGTTCAAGGCCAGCCTCAACTATATAGCAAGACCTTATTTCAAAAAACAAAACAAAACGAAACAACAACAACAAAATCCAGGGATAATAATGTCATTTTCCCTGTATGATTATTAGATGGATTAAAGAATATATTTAAAAGCAAAAGCACTTATATTCTTCAGAAACTCATGAGAAATTTATGTTTTCAGTTATTCTCTTATTTCAGTAATGAGTAGAATAGATAGGATAGAATTTTGCAGGGACAAGTTGTCACAACAATTTGTGTGTTGACTCTCCCTGACTTGGGCATCAGTGAAATACTATGCACAGGCACCCAGGACTTAGTTTTCTTTGTCTGTTTAGGAAAATTTAGACCTGGAGTCAGGGTAATCTGAGTATGTGACATCTCTACAGTTTCTCAGATGCAGAAACCATTTGAGTGTTAAGAATTCATCTCTGCCTGGTGTGGTTGTGTACACCTGTAATCCTAACTACTTGGGAGGTTGAGGAAGGAGGATTGTAAGTTCAAAGTTAGCCTAGATAACTTAGGAAGACCTTGTCTTTTTTGTGTGTGTGTGCTAGGACTTGAACTCAGGGCCTCATGCTTGCCAGGCAAGCACTGTACCACTGAGCTACATCCCTAGCCCTGGAGACCCTGTCTTAAAATGAAAAGGACTGGGGCTATAGCTCAGTGGTACAGCATTCCCCTAGCACATGCAAGGCCTGCTCTAACCCCAGGACTCAAAAAGTAATAGCAGCCCTTTCATTGACCTAGGACTTTTCTGTGGCACATTCTTATGCAAAATGAAGACCTAGAGCTATTTTGAAGGATGTGCTTTGGCTTATTAGGGGGAGACTTTGTTTTTTTGTTTTGGCATGGAGAACTTGGTTTTAAGCCTTCTATAATGATCTAGTACCTAAATAGCAGACTTTTATGTGCTGCTTTTATAAAACATAATCTTCACCAGAAGACTTTAGTGTTGTTTCCATTAGTAAGTTCTCCCAAATAATAACATTCTTCTCCATTTCCCTTGTTTTTCAGATCTTCAAAGCTACTTCGGGCATTTTATGTCCCCTTCTTGTCTGATCAGTATACAGTGTATGCAAACTACACCATCTTCAAATCCCGGAAAGCAAAGCAACTCAGGAAGAAAAGTGGAGGTTAGCAACATGTTCTGGCCTCAAAGGACAGCCATCTTGTTAACTAGCATTTCCACTGACCTGACTCCCTCCAAGTCATCACCTGTTGTATTTTTAATAAAGGTCACCTGACATGAATAGAGCAGTCTGGGTGCTTGGGCTAGCTGAAGTATTTCTTTCAAAGTCTAGTCAAAGTTACATTCACTTCTGTGTTTTCTGCATGTAAACTGCAGATAGGCAGAAAAGGCTCTAAAGCAGATAGATATATTGCTGAACATCTCATTGTTTTTCTTCTATTCAATTATTTAGTATTAGACCGGAGAAGAACAGAACCAACTTACAGGAAGATTTGAAAATTCCTGGACTGGATGGCTATGTTAAGCTACTGTCCACACTGTGGTTTGGGATCTGAGAACTAGCAAGCCTCTCTTAGACCACATGGGCTTCTCCACCAAAGCTATTTCACAGCTCCTAGCAGACCTTATTGCTGAAATCCTAGTGCTGAAAATGAGCACAGCCTTGTTGCTAACAACATGTCCTTTTTCACCTCCAGCAAGACTAAGCTTCTGTAAAGCACTTCACAGGACCAGGACCCTGTCCTGGAGCTATCTCAGGAAAAAGGCAAACATTTGAGGAACCATGATCTAATTTTATTATATATGATGCCTTTAATTTCCATTTTATTCCCTTTACAACCACTTATATGGCTATTTTATGTTTTTTGTGTTTTTTTTGGTACCAGGGATCGAACTCGGGACCTTGCTCATGTGAGGCAGGCCGTGAAACCACTGAGCTAAATCCCCAGCAGCTATTTTATGTTTTTAAGTTTTAGCATGCTGTATCTTGAGTTCCTGACTGTTCTATATAAAGTATCAACAGACTAACATGTAGTAGGGCATTCTTAGAGAAATTAATTCTGCCAGTTGATAGATTTGGATGACATCACACTTTCAAATAATGTATTCTGAGGCCATTTCTGAGAAAGTAAGAATTTCCTTTTTTTTTTTTTGGTACCTGGGATCAAACTCAGGACCTTGTGCTTGCAAGGCAGGCGCGGTGCCACTGAGCTAAATCCCCAGCTCAAGAATTTCTTTTTTTAAAAAACAATCCTAGTGAGGGGCGGGGATTTAGCTCAGTGGTTTCGCTGCCTGCTGCGCAAGTGCAAGGACCCAAGTTTGATCCCGGTACCCAAAAAAACCAAACCAAACCAAAACAATCCCAGTGAAAAGGACCAGTGTATATTTATAGCCTGTTTTTAAGTTCTGTCTATTGCAAGGCACATGCTGCATGGGACACTTCTAGTCAAATAAGCAATGAGAGGGCTAGGGATTTAGCTCAGTGGTTCCACCACCTGCCTTGGAAGTGCAAGGTCCCGAGTTCGATCTCTGATACAAAAAAAAAAAGCAATCAGAAGGACTCAAAATGTAATAAGCGTATACTATAACTTTACCTTTATTTACAGTATTTCACAGTTTACAAGGTACTTTCTCAACATCTCATTTGATCCTCACAGTCATAATGTGAGGTAGACAACAGGTGATTTTATCTCCATTTTACAGATGAGAAAACAAACTAAAGAGGAGGGAAAGTGCCTTGCCCAAGGTCACACAGCCAGTAGAAGAGCTAGGTCCTGAACCTAGGTTGCTTAACTTCTCATCTAGCTTGAAAAGATGATGAAGTTGACCAGAGGTTTGACTGATATGTAACTTTCTATTTTTAAAGAACTTTATCTACATTTCTTTGAGTTCTTTGGAGCCTCAGATCTTCCTATGTATTAGACCATCACAGAAGTGCTGCATAATATAATCGGTCCTGTGACAGGAGAGTATTACTTACTTTGGAAGTCATGTTTCTTTGCAGCCACAGAGGATCCCACTATCTGTACTATCCCTGTCATTCCTCTAGGGTTATTTTATAGGTGCCTTATTTCCCTCAGGGTAACTATTTCTAGTATCTGAAAATAGAATGGCTCTGTTTTTCAGAATTTTCCGTCTTTTATCTTTCAAAGAGAAGGACTTTCCAATAGGAACTGATCCCAAGAGAGGAAGAAAAGTGATAATTGGACAAATGGGTGGTTACCATATAAACACTCTCTTGGGATCCTCTGTAAGGAGGAGCTGGAGCTCCAGCTTCTGAGCTGGAGTTAAAGCATTGGAGAAGTGATAGATTCACATAGTATAGATCAGTAACTGCAAAGTAAACTGGAGCCCCACTTGTTTGAAAAATCTCTAGCTTTTAATTTTTGATACTATTTGGTTACTGTTTTCCAAAGCAAACAGTGGGTATCTGATCTGATTACAGGGAAAAGCACTTTATTTATTTATTTATTTTTATATATTAATTGGTACATTTTAGGTATACAATACATTTACATTTATCGTTGGGTGTTTGTACCTGAACATGATGTATCTTAGTTCTTATTTTTTCTCCCATTACCTATGCACCCTTCACCCCCACCACCCTTCCCTATTTACATAGACTTTGTTTCCTTTTTTTTTTTCTTTCTCATAATTTTTCCTTTCCCTTCTTCCCTTTCCCCTTCCTCTCCCACCACCCTTACACCTTTGGACCTTGGGAAAAGCACTTTAAGTGAAGCCTTGCCTTTCTTACAGTAATATCACACTGTCCTTCACAGCAGCCAAAACCCTCTACTTTTTTTTTTTTTGGTACCTGGGATCAAACTCAGGACCTTGTACTTGTGAGGCAGGCACAGGGCCACTGAACTAAATCCCTGGCCCCTGAAAACCCTCTGCTACTTGCAAGGATAAATGAATCCAGTAATGGAGGTCAGTTTGTCTAATCAGACTGCTACAGGACTGAAAGTGTAGCTCAGTGGTAGAGCGTGCTAAGCATTTGTGAGGCCCTGGGTTTGATACCTAGCAAACACACATGTGCATGTGCGCACACACCCACACACAGTAGTGAGATGCTGATCTGTGTTATCATCTTGCTTGTTTGAAAAATAATTTAAAAAGCCTCCTGAGCAAGAACTTAGTTATAGCATAAAAAAGTCAGGATTGATACAGGGCTTCCTTGGGAATATCAGTTCCTGTCCCTTTAAAAACCTCATTTTGGTTTTCTCTGTTTTATGTATCTCTTTAGTGAGAGCACAATAAATTGGAAAATACTGTGCCAAGTGCTCCAGGTAAGTGATTTTTGTTGTGAAGGTGTTTTTCATGTGACAGTTAATAAACACATTAAAAAAATTTTTCATCTCTTAGCAATGCTGGGAGGTTAGCTTTGCATGGGAAAATGAGTTTCAAAATACCTGGTCAAAACACTAGCATTTCTTCCTCCAAAGAATCAGTATTCACTATGAGCTACTTTGCTCACCCTAAGTACATATGATACTCAATACTCCATAGTCTGTGGAATATTGAAGGATTAGGGACTAGGGATGATTCAGAATACCCTTTGATTATGGGCTCAGTGAAAGCGTGGGTACACCTGGCAAATCTAGGATTCTTGATGTCCAACTCTAAACTAGCCTTATCTGAACTCAAATCTTATAACATTGAGTACCATTATGAACCAGTCTGTATGGCAGGCATCTATTAACAAAATTTACTTCTCACTGGGGATTTAGCTCAGTGGTTCTACCGCCTGCCTCGCAAGCGCAAGGTCCCAAGTTTGATCCCTGATACCAAAAAAAAAATTTTTTTACTTCTCACCTGGTAGGTGTCATATGATAAAAAAGAAGACAGGTCATTTTAATCTCTTGGGATAATCATAGAAAATTGCAGCCTATATTCTTTATTACTGAATTCAAGTTTAGAAGCAGACTCATTGTTTTAAATTAAGATGGTTCTTGCGCCCAACCACTCATTTAGGTCATTTTTTTCCTCGTTTGATGTTCTGGGAATGAAGTTTGATGCCATGCGTGGTGGTGCATGCCTGTAATCCCAGCACTCAGGAGGCTGAAGCCATGAGTTTGAGGCCAACCTGAACTACATAGCAAGACCATGTCTCAAAAAAAGAAGAAAAAAAAAGTTTGAAAACCCCATGTGATGCTGCAGCATGAGATACAAGCTGACCATTTCACCAATGGCAGTCCTTTATTGTGTTTCACATTTCCTGGGATTTATTGAAATAATTCACTGTGATTATACACTCATCTGGCCAGTACCAGGCAGCTCTGTTTTTAATTTGGTTAATTTTATTTTCTCTAGAGAGGGAGAAGAGACAAATTAAATCTTTGCCTTCACAGACATAGTAAAGCTCATGTGTTAATTTATTCTTATGCTCCTACATTAAATGCCTTGGCTAAGTGGATAAATGGACATCTGCTCAGCTTTAATGTTTTTTTTTTTTTTTTTGGCAACAGAAAGATCACACTTCTGTTTGGCACTGTTGGGAGTTTAGAGGCTCTCTGGTATATCCTTAAAGGTGAATGTTGCCTTTAATTTTTCCAATTTATGTAACCATATGATTTATGCTGCAAATGAAATCAGGAAGCAGTACAATATTAAAGCAAGAATATTATCCAGTTCATTTGTCTTTCAGATTCTTGTACTTTATTTCATGTATCAGTGTTTACATTACATACATATTGTGTTTTCTGTGAAAGTTAAGTCTTGACAGTTTGATTTTCCTTTTGTTTTCAGCTTTTAAATCTTTGTTGGAAATTGGAAAATGACAGAGCTAAACTCCTGTTTCCCCTATTCTCACCTTTCGGTGCATAGACTTGCCTTCTAGAGGCCAAGTAGCCCAGCATGTTTTATTCTAAAAATTTTAGGAAGAAGCCTTTGGAAAACCCAGTGAGGATTAGTTTTATTTTACCTAATGGAAAAACGAAGCAGAAGTAGGAATTATTTAGTATTTGTATATAATGCTGAAAAGAGATGAAGTTCCTAGATATATCTTAAGTGGACTTAGAATCTCTGGACTGTGAAAGTATAATTTCATAGAAATTCTGATCCAGTTATAGCTGATGTTTGGGTAATTTCTCCCTTTGTTGAGAGTTGTCAGGAGGAATAAAACTTTTTTATAAATGAGTTTCTAGAATCATTCCTGTACTTTCCACCTTATATCCAATAACCTCTAGTAGCCATCTGATTTTATACCATTAGTTATCACTTTCTTTCCCCTAGGACCCAAAATCCCTTGATTCTTATTTTTATTCATTTCTCTCATGTTATTTTAGAGAAGGATGCCTTTAGTTCAAGGAGGGAGAAGCTCATAGCCTTAATTTCTTTTTCCTTTCTACAGTGACAATCTTTTGCTCTGTTTATCTGTTACTTTGCTTTTAGGGCTGAATCTCTTAAGAAGCCTTTCTAGATTTCAACCCCTATTATTACTTCCTTTCCTGAATTCTTTTGGAGTGTATAGTGCCTTTTTGGAGAGCATAGAACCTTAATACTTAACCTTTTACACTTGTCTACCCCAAACATTTTTAGCATGTCTGGGCAATGCCACACTTCTCTATTTCCAATGCTCCCCACAGATTCCTGAACATTTTGGTAATGTACGTGTTTATTGACAATGAATTTTAAAGAAATAAAAAGACACCTCGAACTAATATATAGCTGTTGCCTTCAATTTGGCATGGATTCTTAGACCACAGAAAATACAGCAAGTTGTAAGTCCTGCAGTATTTGAAGGTCAATTTGTGAAGGATACTTAATATGTGCACAGTGTAGCAATTCTCCTGAAGTATACAGGCTTCTGCACAAAAGTAGATTCCTCAGAGTAGCTTCTAAAAGAGAGAGAATAGAATATTTCTACTACTTGATTTTGGAGGGTCAGACCTAGCACAGGAGACCTTTTGAACGAGCCTGGGTCTGAAAGCCCTTCTTGGAGTTGTGAAGAATGCTTACCTGTTTCATGCCCTGATAGAAAAAGAACATCTGACTGCAAGGTGACTTTGCAGTCTTATATTTGGGTTGAATAATATTAAGTAGAAAGTGATATTTTAAAACGGAAAGCTGTTTTGTTTCTTCAGCTGTAGAGTTCAGCATAGTTTAAACAAATTGTAACCCAACAAATCTGATAAATGAAGGAAATTCAGATTAGGGGTGAGATTATGGAACTATGGTGATGAGGACAACCTGGAAGTTTCTCATTGTCACTTTGTAAAATAATTAGCTTGTGGTAACTTAATAGTCATGTTTAAGTAGTGTTTTACCTGAGAATGAGGTTTTATTTATTTATTTTCTTAATGTTTACATGGATATTCAAGTTCTTCATCAAATACTTACAAGATAGAGATATTTGTTGTTTCTGCTAGCTTCTGGGCTTACTCTGTCATTCCATGCTTGGAGATAAAAGTAAAAAGCAGGTGGCTTCTTGATGGTTCTTGCATCCAAAAGAATGTACTTTTCAGATTTCACCTGAGACTGGATTCCAGATATCACCTGCATTGGGAGGGCTCTTTGATCTTCATTTGCCCACAAAGAAAGTATTTGACAATTGGCACTCTAGCCTTTTGGTTTGTCATTTTAACTAATGGTTCCCAAGTTTTCAAATGTAAAGGGTTCAGTTTGTTTACCAGCTGCTTCAGCACCATTGTACTCAATGCTGGATGAGTTATAATGTATGAATAGCAATTCTCAACCAGCCTCACAAGATAGTGACCTGGAGATCCTTTAAAATTGCCATTCTCTGGTTGGCCCCAGAGAATTCTGAGTTAGTAACTAGGGGGCTCCCATCACTATTTTTAAAAGCTCCTTAATGTACCTTGAGATCATACTCTTAAGTGAGATATATTGGACACACATATTTACTACATTGATCTCTGGTGTGAGAAACCGAAAGTGGAAATAAGGACCAAAATGTATAATAGACGTTGGGAAATGGGAAGAAAATGCTTAAATGAGAAGGGGAACAAAGCAAGGGGGCAGGGGAAAGGAAAGAAGGGACAAGAAAAAAAAGAATAGGAAGAAAATGGGAACAAAGCTTTTGTAAATGAGAAAGAGGGGTCAAGGGGAGGGGAAGAGAATGGGAAAAAGGGAGGAAGCAAGGGATATCATGTACAGGTACAAATTTCCTATGATAAATGATCATTATGTATATCTAAAATATACCAATAAATGTTTTGCTTCAAAAAAAAAAACCTCCTTAGATAATTTTGCTAATACTGTGTAGCAAGAGTTGAACACTACTGCTCTTTCTTTCTTTTTTTTTTTCTTTTGTACCAGGGATCAAACTCTGGTCCTTGCGCTTACGGGGCAGGCAGTGGAACCACTAAGCTAAACCCCCAGCCCGACTACTGCTTTTTTTTTTGGTATGGAGGATTGAACTCAGGACCTTGCATTTGTGAGGCAGGCGGTGGAACCACTGAGCTAAATCCCTGGCCCCCTGACTACTGCTCTTGATAAGGACTGAGAGTCAAGCCAGGCATGGTGGTGCATGCCTGTAATCCAGCACTTTAGGAGGATGAGGCAGGAAGATTACAAGTTCAAGCCCCACTGAAGTAATTTAGCAAGATCCTGTGTCAAAATCAAAGAAGGGCTGGGGATGTAGCTCAGTACAAAAAGCCCTGGGTTCAATCCTTGGTAGAGCAAAACAAACAAAAAACCCGAGAGGCAAACATTACACCAAAGATAAAAAATGATTAAGCTGGTAGAATGTTTGGTAACTTTTTCTAATTCTGACCCCTGGTCATCCAGACCTACATCTGGGGCCCTTCCCTTCCACAAGCCTTTTTTTCCTGTTATCTGTCCTCATTCTCTCTGGGCCTCGCTTGCTGGAAAACAACTAACTAATATGGCACTGAAAAAGCTAATGGATGTTGGGCTGGGGATTTAGCTCAGTGGTTTCACCGCCTGCTACGCAAGTGCAAAGACCCAAGTTCGATCCCTGGTACCAAAAAAAAAAAAAAAAGCTAATGGATGTTAATAATTCACTACAGTTCTCGTCCCATTGACCCTCTCCTCTCAGTACATTGAATGATATCACATCTAGAAAAAAAAAAAGAAATGACTATCATTTTGCCAACTTCAGACCCATGTGGTGTTTTATTATTAGGTGGGAGGAAACAGTTTGAGCAGGCAGGGCCTACATTCAAGAAGACTACGTTCAAGAAGACAGCCTATATAGTTCAGTGGTGCCACCTGCCTTGCAAGCACAAGGTCCCAAGTTCAATCCCTGGTACCAAAAAAAAAAAAAGCCTGCCCTTCAGCCCTACCACTTGGCACTGCTTGGCCTACTCAGGTAAGACCTGTGGCTGTCTGGAGTAGGATAATGCAAGGTGTGTGGGTGTTAAGCCTTCTTTCCTGCTCAAGACACACTAGGAGAGCCAGCTTTATATAGTTTTTTTTTAAATTAAATTCTTTTATTGGTACATTTTAGGTATACAACACAATTACATTTCTCATTGGGAATTGTACCTTTACATAATGCATCTTGGTTCTTATTTTTTCCTCATTCCTAGCCCTCCACGCCCTCCACCCTTCCCTATTTACAAAGACTTTATTTCCATTTTTTCCATTTCTCATCATTTTTCCTTTCCCTTCTTTCCTTTCCCCTGATATATAGTTTTTTAAATGTATATATAGTTTTTTTAAAAAAACATGCTCAGCTCTGTTCAAGACAAACACAGTGAAGGCCCTAGCTTGGCCTTGTTATTTTGCCACTGATCTGCAAAGAGAGCTTCTCTGCAGCTGCTGCCACCATTCTCAGATGAGAGCAAAGGTTAATTTCATTTTCAGAGAAATGACCTGAAATGTGTTCAGTTACTCAACAAAGAAAGAGCATGCAGCACTCAGAAGTTGGTTTCCCTCTTTCTTGTCTCCCTCTTGGCAGTATGTCTCTAAACTTCCCTGGTATTTCCTAAAACATGTTTAACATGTTCCCATTCTCTTCTTGCCAGTGAAACATTGGTAGAGATACGGAAGAAAAGAGGCTGGTTTTTCAGTGCTACATTTGTAAAACAATCTTTCTAACTCAGCTTTCCCCCTTTTCTTTGGGCCTTTTTCTGTATTTGTGTTCTCACAGTTTATGATGACTGGATATTCTAAAAAGTAGCACCAGAATTTAAATTTGCTGTCATGTTTGTTTTGCTTTTGCTATACTACTGTCTGACAGCTTCAGGCGCCGTGGCCTGCAGTGCTGTCACAGAAGCTCCCCTGTGTCCAGCAGAGGGCATCCTACTCCTATGAAAAATTTCAGAGCTCCTTCTGAAACTTGACATAAAGACAGTATTCGCTGTATTCTTGGTGTTGTTCCAGTGTAAGTTGAAATCCATTTTAAAAAAATCTATATTCCTACATGACACTCTTGTGCTATAGTTGAAACATTTCTTGGAGAAAACCAGATCATAAAGCTGGGTGTGGTGGTACACACACATGTAATCCCACCACTTGGGAGACTGAAGCAGGAGAATCACCATGAGTTCCAGACCAGCTTAGACTACATAGCGAATTCAAGAGAAGCCTGAACTATACAGTGAGACCTTGTCTCAAAAAACAACAACAAAAAAGCAAACAAAACAAAAGCAAACAGACAACCCCCCCCCCCCAAAAACCAGGTCATAGTTTATTAGAGGATGAACTGCCCATCACAACAGTGGTTCCCTGATTGATAGTCTAGAAGTTGACACTTCTCTATTAATTTCAGTTCTATTTGCCATGATATTATGTTTGGAGGTTATACTGTAATTGACATGCTGGGTTGAGGGGGAAGCAGCTACTTTTAGAGACAATTATTAGTCACTTACCTATTTCCAAGTTTTCATATATGAGCAAGCCATATTACATACACATTCCTAATTTTACCACTGCTAACTTATTGATGCTGTCAAAGGCAACCCAAAGGATACAAGAATGTTCAGGAGTCTCTCATTTGGGTGCCAACACATCATCTACAGAACAGTAGCTCAATGGAAGGTAATGGCATTTAGCAAGCCCTGAGCCCTGTGAAATGAAAAGCCTTTGAATACCTTCCATTAGTCCCATGCCTAGGCCATGTGGTGAGGTGCAAACATTTGCCAAAGGAAGTAAAATTTGCATCTAAAAAATGTAGGATCACTGCCTAGGCATACTTGGGCCTTGAGGAACAGGGTCAACTTCAACTCTGTCAAATACAGAATGTGGATTCCCTTCTTCAAGTGTATGACACCTGATACCCTCTTTTGTGCTTAATCTTAGAAACATGGAGATTATATGGATTGGGGGTAGTGTTTTATTTGTGTGGTTTTTGTTATTTTATTTATTTATTTTGGTGGTGTAAAGATTCAACCCAGGACCTTTGCATTGAGTTATATTCCCTTCCCATTCCCCCTTTTTTTGGAGACAGAGTCTAAGTCGCTAAGTTGCCCAGGATAGACTTGAACTTGTCATCCCCCTGCCTCAGCTTTTCAGAGTGCTGAGATTCATAGTGGCCTGAGCCACTATGCCTGGTTTTTTTTTTTTATAGATACACCCTCTAGGCTCAGATTTGTTGTGTGAAGAAATAATACAATAACAGCCAATGTTTGCTAAATAGTGGGATGGGGATGCAGCTCAGTGGTAGAGTGCTTTGCCACCATGTATGAGTCTGTAGATTTGATCCCTAGGACTACAAAAGAAAAAAAAATTGCTTTA